GACGGTATAGACATTCTCACATTCCTTCAGACACCTCGAATTGAATTCGGTACAGAGCAAGTTATTGATATAGGAGGTGGGTATCAATGACACAGTTCAGACTTTTTGGGATCGAGCACGAGAGTAGGGAAAATTTTTGATGGTAGGACAATAAGTAGGCGGTCGGTAGTGGGGAGCTCGTCTTATCCAGCAAGGTTTGGAAAGTTATTAGGGTGGACAATAATGCACGAACTTCCTGGGCCGGCTTGCGCCATACGTGCTGGATTATTTATTTGATGCGGAAAGTGATGAGGAAAGGGAGATTGTTGGAATCGTTCACCACAGCATAGTTGAAATACTAGATTGGCTAATGGAGAACGCCAATGATTTTCTGAAAGACATCGATAATATTCCAACAAGTCTATTGGCGTATGCGATGGAGATCGATGTTAGTCCCAATCAGCTGAGGGAGTTTAAAGGAGGGAACTTAGAAGGCTAATAATAACTCACGAACTGTACATGTGCCGGTCTGGTAATCTAGACAGATTACATCGCGGGATGAACGTTGATCTGGATGGTGAATCATTGTGTGAGGTTTGTATTTACTCGATCAATAGATTCTTTATTGGAGATTTAGTTTTCTAATTAACAGTATTATTTCTTAATTTAGTTATTGCAGCCTCGTTTGGATGATATCAAGAGGCGATTTTACGCCAATCAATTAACGCGCAAAAGATTCGTAGACATGTTCAACTGGAGAAATGTGGAACGGAACTTGAGCGCAGTAACAAGAAATCGTGGCGATGTCATCTCTTGGTTGCGTGAAGTTATCGAAGAAATAGGAACTGAGGAGGAATGGTCTGACATCCTGAAATTCATCACCGGTTCCCGTGCTGCGGCACTTAATAGAAGCATCAGGGTAATTAATACATTAACTGCAATAAAATTATGATTCAGAGTTTAGTATTAATAATATTAACGAGTCCTACGTAATTTTTAGATAAAAGTTGTCAACCCGTACGTAAACCTCCCCCATCCCTATAATCGATACGCGGGCTCGTACATGTGTACCTCAACTCTGGAGATTTGTAACAGTTACCGTTACGATGAAAAAGATAACTTTTTTTCAGAGTTGAGGGGGCAATTTGGGAGTGTAGTGAAGGGTTCAATGAAACGGGATTCGACAGCGGGAGTTATCTGTGGAAATTATTGATTAAATTAATAATTAATAAATAATAAATAGTTAGATGTGGTCCATGTTTAAGAGGCTTTTTTGCGTAACTGAAGGTGAAAAAAAGTTCCATAATTATACCCTCAACAGAAAGAAAAACCCCATTAAAAACGTATTTAATTTCGATAAACTTGGTTTATTTCACTGCAAAAAGTCATCGTAATGTTAAAAAGAACATTAAAGCGGTTTATAAATTTAATCAATCAATAATGTCTATGATACACCAAATATGAGAAATTATGGTCAAAGTGCACAATTAAAAATGTCATGATACTAACAAGAATTTGTTCATGGTCAAAGACAAACATAAAACATATTTAAATGAACTGATCAAAAAGTAGGAATATGACTCCACCTTACAAGATGGAACAGTCTTAATAGTTACTATAACAAAAACAATAATACGTGGATATTCAACATTGTTGAGTTATGCGAAGACTCAATGTTACCAATTTATGGCTTGTGATATCGAATATATAGAAATCGTCCAGGAGTGCTATCAGTGGCACTGCGAAGGAACCAGTTACCTGGCTAATAAAAGCAGAATGTTAAAAGCGATAGTAAATCGTCATGACAACTATAAATTTCCCTGCCTAATTACCGTCTTCTTAGTCGCCCTACAAGAGATTCTGTTTGTGCATTCAAGTCGCGTGAATTTGTCATTATATTGCGCAGTTTCACTTTGGGAATAGCGAGAAATTTTATATAAATTCTTTCGGCCAATCATTCGAGATCATCTAGCTTAATAGGAAACACAAACTAACTTGCTGCGTTGTTTCTTGTTCCTATACTATTTTTGCGAAATAAAAATGTCGTTAAAACACAAAATCGATATTGTCAAACGGTAAATCGTTTATATTTACCATGAAAGGGGTCGATGGCATTAGTCTAACGTTGTCTGTTCTGTGAATGTTTAGTCTCCATGCCGACTCGAAATATTATGAGATCGAGCTGCAAAATCAGCAAAGACGAATCGACAAATATATTGAAGAGAATAGGGACGAGTATGACATTAAAAAACAAGTATGTAAATCGACCTTGTTACTCGCTCTATCAATTTCTTTAAGCTTATTCTGTAACCTGATTATTCCAGAAAGAAGTATTAGAGGAAACACAGAAGATGATACCTGACTGTAAGAACAGGTTGCAAAAAGCATGCCAAGAATTACAAGATTATATGGTAAGTTGTGTTTAATAATATTAATAAACAAGAAGTTCAAGTCATCCCCACTGTAGAACAAGTCTCTTACTCTTGTTTCTCGTTGCTTTTCAGGACATGAACCCAGCATTGAAGGGTACTGCTGAATACACAACAGCAGAGAATATACTAAAGAACCTTAAGTAAAGAAGTTTAACTGTATTTATAAGCGTAGCTTGTTTCGCTCAAAAGTTGAAGTTCGTATGATTTACTATTAAAAGTCACATGATAGTAAAGTGTGCATTATGGCTGAGTGTACTTTTTATTGGCTCAATTGTCCCAAAATTTGTTTAACAGAAATATGAATATGATATAAATACCTGAAGCTTCTATACCTATAGATTCTCCGAAAACCATACTTTTAATCATTGTGTATAATGCCTCCTTGGAAGTACTTGTGCATTATCACTATCAATACATTATGCAAGCATTAGCATTGACTATTGTCAATTGAGAACTTTGCCAAAAATTAAACAAGTTTTAAGAAACAAGCTTTCTAACACGTTAAGTACCATCATCATTAGGTAAAGGCTGGGATATTTAAGTAGTTCATGATTCTTATAATACAAATTGTATCAACAGAAAAAGTTGAAACCAGCAGCATTATTAAATGACGTAATATTCTGCGATATTACATCGTCACAAATAGACCGCGGTGGGAATTCCGTAAACGATATTCATCTAACTCTCGTGCCCATACAATGGTTTGCAAACTTCATAGATAGTCTACTTTTGTATAAATAATATGAGAGTGTAGTTTTTTTGCTAGTACTAGTTAACAACAACATCGACGGAACAATCGATCGGCAAGTCTCAATTAGAATAGCTCTTCATACTCAATACATTCTATTTAGTGGTTTAGCGTATAATCAGTATTTCATCGTCTTAGCAGTACGTGTAAATGAATTCGAACAGGCAGAATGCGATTGCCAGCCTCGTATATTTCAAGGTATTGCTAGCGCTGTTATTGCAGTCAGGAGTTTTACCCGATTTGGGAGATGCAGATCTCACCTTTTTATAGTAATGAAAACATTCGAGAAATTTC